GGAGCTTCACCGAAGGCCCCAGCGGCAGCGCCCGCATGCGGTTCCACCCCCCTGTTCGGCACACCCTTCACACGTTTCGTGACCCCATAGGGAGCTCCACCGAAGGCCCCAGCGGCAGCGCCCGCATGCGGTTCCACCCCCCCATTTCGGCACACCGCTCACACGTTTCGTGGCCCCCATAGGGAGCTCCACTGAAGGCCCCAGCGGCAGCGCCCGCATGCGGTCCCACACCCATTTCGGCACACCCCTCACGCGTTTCGTGGCCCCATAGGGAGCTTCACCGAAGGCCCCAGCGGCAGCGCCCGCATGCGGTTCCACCCCCATTTCGGCACACCCCTCACACGTTTCGTGGCCCCATAGGGAGCTCCCTTGAAGGCCTCAGCGGCAGCGCCCGCATACGGTTCCACCGCCCCATTTCGGCACACCCCTCACACGTTTCGTGGCCCCATAGGGAGCTCCACCGAAGGCCACAGTGGCCTCGTTCGCATGCGGTTCCAGCCCCACTTCGGCACACCCTTCACACGTTTCGTATTGTGTACCCCGCCACGCAATTCGGCACACCCCTCATACGGTTCGTGGATTCGTGGCCCCATGGGGGGAGCGCCGCCGAAGAGAAGAATGTTCACAACAGCGGTACTCACAACTGCATATGATTGGGTCCTCCGCCAGGATTTCTTTCTCACTGGCAGCTTCGCGGCCAGAACGGAAAAGAAACATCACCTCAGCGGAGGTCTTTCGCGGAGTATGCTCGGCGTCTAGAGGGGCCAGTGCCCGGCCTCGAACATCGGCGGTTTTCGGAGCGCGGAGCTGGTCCTGCCAGAGGAGTGGAGAGCCCCAAGGGATGGTCTGAGTGGGCGGCGGGGAGGAGGGGGGGAGGGGGGGGGGGGAGAGGGAGAAAAGGGATCAGAGGAGGAAAAGGTGCCCATACCTCTACCCTGGCCCCGTTTTCTCTTTTTTGGGCCTCCTTGGAGGCCCTCGTTGCCACCGCTGGATTCTCGTCGAAATCCTGGGCAGAACGCACCCCGGGAGGGGTCCGGGGAGCAGCGGTATCGGTAGCTTTTTGGTTTCCCCAGGGAGGGGGGAAGGAGGATGGGAGGGGGTGAAGAAGGCGGAGGATGGGAGGAGGATGATGGGAGGAGGAGGATGGGAGGAGGAGGAGGATGGGAGGGGAGGAGGAGGATGGGAGGGGAGGAGGAGGATGGGAGGAGGGGGGGGAGGACGCGGCGCAGGAGGGGGAGAACGGAGACGGGGGGGGGCGATGCAGCGGACGTGCGCCGGCACGACGGCGAGGGGAGAGGAGGCGGGGAGCGAGGGGGGGAGGGGCGGGGCAGGAAGGGGAGACGCGGTCTTGCTGGGGCAGGAGGAGGAGGAGGAGGAGGAGGAGGAGGAGGAGGAGGAGGAGGAGGAGGAGGAGGAGGAGGAGGAGGAGGAGGGGGTTCTCGGATTTTGTTTTTTCGATTGGCAGATGTTCTTGTTGTTGGGTTCCTTTTCGTTTTGCCAGCGATCCTTATTTTGTAGGCACTGTGCCATCTTGGAGGTCTCTCTGCACTGTCTTCGAGGTCTCTCCTCTCTCTCTCTCTTTCTCTCCCGTACCGGGGGGAACGGTGCGTTCGTCCATCTTGGGGCCTTCTTGGAACCCTCTGCGGGCCCTCCCAATGCTTCAAGAGGGCCCCAAGCGGGCCCAACGCGGCTCCTTGTCCAGAAGGACGTTCAGTTCTATTGGGCCATTTGTGGGTTCACATGTTTGTGGTGAGTTACGTCTTCCTTGAATTCCTTCCTTGGGGCATCTCATGCCATGTTGGAGGCAATCTTGCGCCCGGGGCCTGGGGCTTCTTGGGGGCCTCTTCAGGCTTGCCGGAGGCTGTCAGTGCAGCGTTTCGCAACGCGGTGTCGGGACTCTGGGTCTGAGGGATCTTGATGGGTCACGAGAATCTCAGGGGCCCTGGGGATTCCGAAGGGTCAGTGCGAGGCTTCTGAGATGCCCGCGCGAGACCTCTGTGCGGCCTGCGCGAGGCCTGTGCGAGGCCTGTGCGGGGCCTGTGCGAGGCCTCTGCGAGGCCTGTGCGAGGCCTGTGCGAGACTTCCGAGGAGCCTGCGTGAGGCCTGTGCGAGAGGCCTGCGCGAGAGGCCTGCGCGAGGTTTCTGAAGGCCTGAGCGAGGCCCCTGCGAGGCTCCTGAAAGGCCTCTGATGGGCCTGTGCGAGGTCTGATAGAGGCCTGCCCGAGGCTTCCGAGAGGCCTGCGCGAAGCTTCGGAGAGGCTTGTGCGGGGCCTTTCAGAGGCCTGCGCGAGGCCTCGGAGAGGCTTGTGCGAGGCCTCTGCAAGGCCTGCGCAGGAGCCTCGTGCAGGAGCGTCGCAGGAGCCTTGTTTTGGGTTGTTAAGGAGCCCCGCATGAACCTTCTGATGGGGCCTCCTGGGAGCGTCGTAAGAGCCTCTGCGGGGCTTCGTAGAAGATTTCGGGGTTGTCGTCTTCATCGTTCTTGTCCTGGGCAGCGGTGGTGGAGGAGGAGGAGGAGAAGCAGGAGGATAAGGAGCAGGAGGACGAGGAGAAGGAGGAGGCGGAGGAGGAGGTGGACGAGGGGGAGGAGGATAAGGTGGAGGATGATGATGCTGATGGTGATGATGATGGTGAGGATGCTGATTATGACGGTGATGATGATGATGATGACTATGATGCTGATGATGATGATGCTGCTGTTGATAATTATGGTAATGCCGATGCTGAGGACGATGAAACTGCCGATGATGATGATGCTGACGATGATGGCAGGATCTGCTGATGATGGTGATGCTGTTGCTGATGCTGCTGCTGATGATGAAGCTGATGACGACGATGTTGATGCTGATGCTGATGATGATGATGCAGACGATGCCGACGATGATGCTGATGACGATGATGGTGCTGATGCTGCTAATGCTGACGATGATGATGGCGATGGTGATGATGCCGATGATGTTGTTGATGCTACTCCCGATGACGATGACGGTGATGATGCTGCTGATGATGATGCTGATGCTGATGACGATGATGCTGAGGCTGATAAAGATACTGCTGCTGCTGCTGCTGATGATGATGATGATGCTGATGATCCTGCTGCTACTGCTGATACTCATTATGATGATGATGCTGCTGATGCTGATGTTGTTGATGATACTGATAATGATGATGCTGCTGATGATGATAATGACGAGGATGATGATGCTGGTGCTAATGCTGCTGATGCTGATGCTGATGCTGTTGCTGATGCTGCTGCTGATGATGCTTATGATGATGCTGATGATGGTGATGATGATGATGATGATGATGATGGTGATGATGAGGACTCTGATGCTGATGCTGATGATTCTGATGCTGATGCTGCAGCTGTTGATAATTATGGTGACGCTGACGATGATGATGGTGGTGGTGCTGCTGATGATGATGATGAGGATGATGATGATGCTGATGATGGTTATGATGATGATGATGATGATGATGATGATGATGATGATGATGATGATGATGATGATGATGATGATGATGATGATGATGATGATGATGATGATGATGATGATGATGATGATGATGCTGATGATGCTGATGATGATGATGATGATGATGATGATGATGATGATGATGATGATGATGATGCTGAGGATGCTGCTGCTGATCATGATGCTGATGATGCTGAGGAGGAGGAGGAGGAGGAGGAGGACGAGGCCGAGGGGAGGGGGCGGAGGAGGAGGAGGAGGAGGGTGTTGATGCTGATTCCGACGACGAGGAGGGCGAGGATGAGGACGAGGAGGAGGGAGGAGAAGGAAAGGAGGGGAAGAGGGGAAGACGTCGACGACGACGACGGCGACCCTCCTTTGCAAACCGTTCTTTGCCATCACGCCGTTCTGAAGCAAGGCAATCATGATATGACAAGCGTCCCTCGCGAAAGATATCACGAGTTAATGCTCAGCGTCGAGGCTCAGGCGCGGGAGTTGGGTGGAACATGCGCGGACCAGTATGGTGGGGGCGTTGAAGGAATGTCTCCCTGAGGGGCCATACCCTGGGAACTCGTGGCGTCGTGGCACAACCATGGCAGGTGTGTTCGCCCGCGTTCCCCCGTGCCCTCGCGAATCTATCCGCTTCGAGAAGAGCAGAAGGCATGCTGATGTTCGGGACGTGCTCCTGGAGCACCCTCCAGACCCGCTTCTGGGCTTTTCGTTGGGCCGTCTTGGGCTGGGCCCCTCTTCAGGGTTTGACGGCCGTCTTGCGGCGATCATGGGGGCCTCTTCGGCCGTCTTGGACGCACTTAAGACCGAAACGGCGACGATGCGACAATCATACGCTTGTTACGAGTTCCAGTCGACTTAGGTCTCTTGGGCCCTCTCCATGGCCTCCAAGATGGCCGAAGAGGCCCGAACGAGAGCACCAGGACGGCCCCCTGGGGACCATCTAGAGGAGGAGGGACTGAGTGAGGAAATTGAGGCGGAGGAGGAGGAGGAGGCAGTACTACTATGACTAATAATATGACTAATACTCAACATACTAATCATCACAAAGCAGAAGAAACGAGGAAGAGGAAGAGGAGGAGGAGGAAGAGGAGGAGGAAGAGGAGGAGGAGGAGGAGGAGGATGATGACGGGGAGAAGGAGCAGGAGGAGGATGCGGAGCAGGAGGAGGAGGACGAGGATGAGGAGGTAGGAGGAATTGACGTTGGACGCGTGCGTGCATTTACTTGAGCATGTGAAGCGCCAAGCGTGCAATCATGTGCAGCGTCAGTGCCCACATGGGCGCTTCGCTTTGAACTGCAATGCCGAACTTATCCACACTCTATCTGCCAGGTGTGGACTTTCTGCATACGGTGACGACGTTTCAATCACGTTTCTTGTCGAGGCTCATCTACTCAGCGCATTTGCGTGCGCGCAGTCGTTGTTTAGTGGCGATAGCGATTTTGCATTCCGCAAGTGACATGACTGCCATTGATTGCGCTACGGTGCTCCTGTTGCTGATGTACAGGAGAGGGTAGGGAAGGAGAGTTTTATAAAGAACACGTTCACCAAGCTCTGGGAGGATGACGTGAACCGGTTTCAAAGGAATACAGAATTGCAAGTCGTTACGTATATTTTGTTCATTATCTTCTTTCTGTTTTGGACCGCTCGGGGCCGAGGAGGAGGTGGAGGAGTAGGGCAGGGGAGGAGGAGGAGGAAGAGGAGGAAGAGGAGGAGGAGGATCGCACTCTGTGGCGCAAATGGCTCGTCCTGAGTGTTTGTCACTGCCTCTTCCGTCTTCGTTCCCCACAGAACAGCCGATGTAGTCGAGTTTATTGACAGGGTCTTCTGAGGTGGCGCGGCTCGCGGAGCATAGCGCGTCGTCGCCGCGCGGTGTGCCAGGCTCGTGCCCAGCCCAAGCGCACGGCGGCCGCGTCTTCTCAGAACTGCACTTGGGCTCGGGCGCGTAGGTCGCCACCCTGGCCAATCTTACCATTCCAGTCGTTTGTGTGTGTATGTGTGTGTGTGTGTGTGTGTGTGTGTGTGTGTGTGTGTGTGTGTGGAGAGCTGGCACTTGCCCCAGTATGACCCGTTGAACGACGAAGTCTGTCACGTGCTGCTGGGCTGGGTCAAGTGCGGGGTGGTCTCTGGCACGCGGTCAGGCACCCCGTGCTCGTCCTTCACCTAAGCACGCCCTGCCCTTCAATGGTCCCGTATCCCACATCGTCTGCGAAGCGCGTAGCGTCCACGTCACCTCTCGTCCCTCGGGGAAGCTGATGTGAAGGTCTTTCGTGTGGGCAACGAGACTGCACGCAGGAGTGGCATTATTCCAGACGCTTGCATCCAGCGAGGGTGTCCGTGCGACGAAGAGAGCCCAGCGCAATCGTCGTTTGGCTTTCGCACAGTCGACATGATAAGTCCCGTTTGGCGTCTTGCTCCAGCTAGGTGATCGATTACGGTGCTTTCGGCGCCCCGTGGAGGACTCGACGCAAACTACATTTTTTTCATGGCACCATTGCGGCAGAAGAGCCGAAGCAGCTATCACAATAAGCATAGGGGGCTACGATGGGCGGTCGCGATGATGGGCCACGATGGATGGCCACGATGGGGGGATCGGGATAGGAGTAGGGGTAGGAGTCGAAGGCGCCTACGGCGAATCACCGCCGCCCCCTGTCCTTGTGGAAGCGCTTATGTGGCTGACAGCTGGGCTAGAGCCTGGCCAAGCTAGCGGGCCAGTTGTTCCCCGAGTCGGTTTGGAGAGTCTTCGGGGAACGCGTGGGGGAGCAAGAGGTTTGAAAGCGCTCATGTGTCCGAGCGTTGTGGCAAGAGCTCTGCCAAGCTGTCGGACCATGTGTTCCCCCAACCGTTGTGGAAACCCTTGGGGGACCACTTCTGGGAAGATGACGGAGACGATCAGGGGGAGGAGGAGGAGGAGGAGGAGGAGGAGGAGGAGGAGGAGGAGGAGAAGGATGAGGAGGAGGAGAAGGAAGAAGGAGGAGGAGAAGGAGGAGGAACATAAGGAGGAGGAGTCTTGGGTGTCTTGGAGGCCTCTTGGGCCGTCTTGGGGGCGCCTTAGGGCCGTCTTGGGCCTCTTGGGCGATCTTTGGGGGCACTTGGGCCGTCTCGGGCAGTCGGAAGGCAGAAACAACAGCAAATGCCACAATCCTTCAACAATTCATGGGAAATCAATGATTTTGGCCTTTCGGGCCTCACTGGAGACCCTCTTGGAGGTCTCTTGGGCCGTCTTGGGCCATCTTGGGGCCATCTTCGGCCGTCTTGGTGGGCTCCTGGCCCGTCTGACGCCGTCTGACGCCGTTGAGGGGTCTCTCTGGGCCGACTTGGGGCCTCTTGGAATGCTCCATGGCCGTCTTGGAGGCCATCTTGGGCGTCTTAAATGCCTCCTGGGCCGTCTTGGGGGCCTCTTGGGGCCGTTTTGGGGGCCTCTTGGGCAGTTCTGGGGCCATCTTGGAGGTTTCTTGGGCGATCTTTGGGCGATCTTTGGGGCCTCTTGGGCTGTCTCGGGCCGTCGGAAGGCCGGAAAGAAGCAAATGTCAAGATCCTTCAAAAACCTTAGGAACATCAGTGTTTTTGGCCTTTTCGGGCCTTCCTGGAGGCCCTCTTGGAGGCCTCTTGGGCCGTCCTGGGCCAGCTTCGAGTCAACTTCGGCCATCTTGGTGGGCTCCTGGCCCGTCTGACGCCGTCCTCTGGGCAGACTTGGGGCCCTCTTGGGGTGTTCCAGGGCCGTCTTAGAGGCCATCTTGGGCGTCTTGGAAGCCTCTTGGGTCGTCTTTATGCCCTCTTGGGGCCGTCTTTGGGGCCTCTTGGGCAGTCCTGAGGCCAACTTGGAGGCCTCTTGGGCGCTCTGGGGGCGATCTTGGGAGCCTGTTGGGCCGTCTTGGGTCGTCGGAAAACAGAAAAGGAGCAAATACGAAAAACCTTGAAAACCTAAGGGGAAATCAATGTTTTTAGCCTCTTCGGTCCCTCCTGGAGGACCTCTCGGCGGCCTCCTGGGCCGTCTTGGGCCGTCTTGGGCCGTCTTGGGCCGTCTTGGAGGTTTCTTGGGCGGACTTGGAGGCATTTCCTCCTCTCTTGGGCGGACTTGGAGGCCATCTTGGACCATCTTGGAGGCCATCTTGGGCCAACGTGGCCATCCTGGAGGCCATCTTGAGCCGTCTTGGAGGAACAATTGGGGATTGAGATCCTTTTCAGGTGGCCGGCCGCACGCGCCGGAAAGCTCAGGGGGAGTTCTTTTCGGGAGACTCTTCATGGGGGGGGATCCCATGGGGGGATAGGATCCGGGGGGGGGATCCCATAGGATCCCCTGGGGATCCCATGGAGAGTCTCCCGATCTTTTGGAAAAAGAACCAAGACCAAAACCGAGAGGGTCCAGCACGCCCACGGGGGGCGGCGGATCGGAGACGCCCACGGCGAGTCACCGCCGCCCCCTGCCTGTGTGGAAGCACCTGTGTGGCCGAAGGTTGAGGCCAGACCTGCCAAGTTGTCGGGCCATGTGTTCCCCGAGTCGGTTTGGAAAGCCTTCGGGGAACACGTGGGCATCTTGAAGGTCATCTTGGCCGTCTGGAGGTCATTTTGACCCTTTCGGGCCTTCTTGGAGGGCGTCTTGGAGGGCTCTTGGGCCGTCTTGGAGGCCATCTTGAGCGTCTTGGAGGCCTCTTGGGCGATCTTTGGGGGCCTCTTGGGGCCGTCTTGGGCCTCTTGGGCGATCTTTGGGGGCACTTGGACCGTCTTGGGCCGTCGGAAGGCTGAACAAAAAGCAAGTGCCACAATCCTTTTAAAACTCATGGGAAGTCAATGATTTTGGCCTTTTCGGGCCTTCCTGAAGGCCCTCTTGGAGGGGCCGTCTTAGGCCATCTTAGGGCCATCTTCGGCCGTCTTGGTGGGCTCCTGGCCCGTCTGACACCGTCGGAAGCCGTTTGGGGGGCCTCTCTGGGTCGACTTGGGGTCCTTTGGGGTGCTCCAGGGCCGTCTTGGAGGCCATCTTGGGCGTCTTAAATGCCTCCTGGGCCGTCTTGGGGGCCTCTTGGGGTCGTCTCGGGGGCCTCTTGGGGCCGTCTCGAGGGCCTCTTGGGCAGTTCTGAGGCCATCTTGGAGGCCTCTTGGGCGATCTTTTGGCGATCTTTGGGGGCTCTTGGGCCGTCTCGGGCAGTCGGAAGGCCGAAAAGAATCAAAGGTCGAAATCCTTCAAGAACCTACAGAAAATTAGTGTTTTTGGCTTTTTTCTGGCCTTCTGGAGGCCCTCTTGGCCGTCTTGGGCCAGCTTCGAGCCAATTTCGGCTATCTTGGTGGGTTCCTGGCACGTCTGACGCCGTCGGGAGCCGTCTTGGGAGCCTCTCTGAACCAGCTTGGGGCCCTCTTGGGGTGTTCCAGGGCCGTCTTGGAGGCCATCTTGGGCGTCTTGGAGGCCTCTTGGGCGGTCTTGGGGCCCTCTTGGGGTCGTCTGGGGGGCCTCTTGGGCTTCGTTTTTCACTCGCCGTTTCGGGGTTTTGCATTGGCAGACATCGGCTACAGCACGTCTGCAAGGTCGGTGCAGTGACAAGCAGGGCGGACATTTCTCCGCCTTGCTTTTCGAGCTCCTTTGGTGCCCATGTCCGCCCTGCTCCAGAATTGGAGCAGAGACACTGGAATTGCAGCTCGAATCGAATACTGTGCACACTAGTCTGCCACGGCGCTGGGTTCAAACAACTACCGCGCACGAAAGAGCGAGCCCAGAACACCTCATTGCCCAGTCGCAAGAATGGCCCACGGCCCAATCGCAAGAACAGCGCAGACGTGTCAACCGAACGGCGTGGATTCCCGAATGCACGGATGGTGCGCGCGATCTGCGGAAGTATCGTCCCTGCCTCTCTTGACGCGGACATCATCGCCCTAAGCTTTCGCACCGCTCGGGGTGCAGACCTGTCCAGGTCTTTCGATTTTTCCCGTGCGCCCGCGCGCAGACCGCCGGATGGCGAGGGCTCCGATTCTGCCTGGGCTCCTCGGGCTGTGCTTCGAGGGGCCACTCGCCCGGGGGCTCTGCGCATCTTGCCACTCCAGGCCCGTGCTCACTGGTGCACTACAATCGGGGCCCTGAACAAGGAACCCTTTTCGTTGGGGAGGGGCTCCGCGTTCCTTACGTGTTTCACAGCTTGCCTCACGCCTTGGGCAGGTTCACTTATGGAAAAAAGGGGCCTCGTTCCTTAGGGTTCCTTAGGTCAACGCCCCGACTGTACCTGCTGCCGTGCTGATGCCGCAGGAGAGGTCTCGTGGACAGCCTCCTGCCGCTCCTGTTGCCGTGCAGCGGCCGGAGGCGCGCGTGCGTCTCAGCAAGCCTGCACGGCCAGAGGCTACATCGACCGTGGCACCGATCGCAGGGCGGCGCGCGGAGGGCCCGAGGGCGCTCCGTCTCGAGCCTCGTGGCACGGTGGCGCGGCTCGATGGGATGCCGCGGGAGGCGCCAAGAGACAGCGGGAGGCAGCGAGAGGTAGCGGGAGGCAGCACGAGGCAGCGGGAGGGCGCGGGAGGCGGCGTGTCGCCCGCCCGACTCCGGATGATCCGGCAGCGCCCCCACACGGTTGTCTTAGAAGGCATATGTAGGACCCGTGCAGGCAAGCTGCTCAGGGAACTTCAGGTGTGCCGCTCTTGTTCATGTGGCATGCCGCGGGAGAGGGAGAGGCCTGTTCCGGGCGAATTCCATGATCAACTCGATGGGCCCACCAGAGAGGGAGGATTCATGACAAGAGAGAAACCGATTTGGAACGAGAAGCTGTGCCTCGTACTATCTGATGCGGCCGCGTCTTCCCTCTGCCTCTTGCGTGTTCATGCCTTGTGGCCCGTCTTCTCTTCTCTCCCTTCCCCCTCTCTCCTCCAGGGAGTTTTGAGGCCTCGAGGGTGGGGGTTGCACTGCAGGTTCTGTCTTACTTACGGTATGTAAGCCACCAAGGGTTCGATTTCGACGAGTTTCATTCGCAGGTTCAGTGCTGATTGCGGGTCTTGCCCGCTCGTTCGTCGCAAGCAGCAGGCGGGATCACAGTTGCGCCCAACGGGAATGACCCGAATGCGCCTCTCCGTTCTCCGTTCGGTAGCCTTGCTTGGTTCGCCCAGAATCCTCCTGCCCCCAATCAGCTGGGGCAGATTCGGTTTTAAGGGCCCTCTCGTTCGCCGCAAGCAGTGGCCGAGAAATGGCAGGCGGGATCAAACTTTTTATCACTGTCGTCGTCATCTTCACCTTCGCCTTATCTTCATCTTCATGTTCACCTTCCTCTTCATCTTCGTATGCATCTGCATCTTCATCTTCATCTTCATCTTGACTCATCTTCATCTTCATCTTCCTATGTATATTTATCTTCATTGCCATCTACATCTTCACATTCATCTTCATCTTCATCTTCATCTTCATCTTCACCTTCATCTTCGTCATCATCATCATCATCGTCATCATCATGATCGTTGTCATTATCATTATCATTATCATTATCATTATCATTATCATTATCATTATCATTATCATTATCATTATCATTATCATTATCATTATCATTATCATTCTCATTCTCATTCTCATTATCATTATCATTATCATTATCATTATCATTATCATTATCATTACCATTATCATTATCATTATCATTATCATTATTATTATCATTATTATTATCATTATCATTATCATTATCATTATCATTATCATCACCACCATTATCACCACCATTATCACCACCATCATCATCATCAGCATCATCATCATCATTTTCATCTTCCTCTTCATCTTCACCACCGCCAGCGCAGTCGTCGGGATCATCGTTATCACCAGCACCGTCACCGTCACCATTTCCATATTGAACTCCATCACCATCACCACTGTACCACCATTATCCCCATCACCACATCAGTCATCATCAGTAACGTCAACCATCGCCGTCACCATGAAGCAGGAAGGGCCCCTCAGGGAGCTGGTCGCCCCCCGAGTTCCCAGGGGGTATGGGCGGCGGCAGGATGTGGACCAAGTTCCCGCACGACTACGGCACTCGCCAGCGCCAGGCCCACGCCGCAGACAAGGCGGGGGTGCGGGGGGAGCAGTGCCAGGACGAGTGGGAGGGGCAGGGAGGGACGAGGGGGCAACGGGCACCGTGGTGGCGCCCTCTCAGCACAGCGGACGCCTGGCAAGGCATCAGTGGAGTCGCGCTGTGCGTCACTCATGGTTTGCACGCAGCATGCCTGATCTTGACGCAGCATCCTCTGGAGGCACTCTTGGGTCGTCTTGGGCCTCTCTTGGGATGTGTTGGGGCCAGCGCTTGGGGCCCTCTTGGGGTTGTCTTGGGCCGTCTGGGCGCCCTACTGGGCTATCTTGAGGCTATGTTGGGCCATCTTGGGGCCTTGTTTGGGCCCTCGTGGCGGCCTCTGGGGCCGTCGAGAGCTGCAGGGCGCCTGGAAAGGCAGAGCCGCGCGAGCCTTGACCATCGATTGACTTCGCCTCTCCTCTGCTGGGGCTTCTCCTGTGGCACTGCCGGGCCCTCTGGGAGGCACCGCGGGTCGTCTCGTCTCTGGGCCATGCTGGGTGGGCCTGGGACCCTCTGCCTCGGCCCTCTCGGCAGCTCTGGGGGCGCAGGGCCTCGGGAGCGTGGATCTGCTTTCTGTCTCCAGTGATCCTGGCCTCGGGGGAGGGGGGGGGGGGCGATGCACGCAGCGGCGAGAGAGGGGGGCCCCTTCGAGTCCTCACATAAAGGCCTACGTGTACAACGGCCCTTGTATATTCTACTGCGCCTCCACGTGCGCAGAGACCTGGTGGCGGATCTCCGTGTAGGCAGCGCCACCTCGGGACGGTGACGGTGCAGTTTTTTTTTGACTCGCGGGTCGAGAGCGCACCTCTTCCGGTCGAAGCGAAGCGGGCCGCGCGGAGCTTGAAATTACGCAGAGAAGGGGAAGGAGAAGGGGGGGAAACAACACACAGACAATGACGATACAGTTGTTTTTTTGATTCGCGGGTCGAGAGCGCACCTCTTCCGGTCGAAGCCGAGCGCGGGCCGCGCGGAGCTTGAAATTACGCAGTGAGGGGGAAGGGGAAGGGGGGGAAACAACACACACAGACAATGACGATACAGTTGTTTTTTTGATTCGCGGGTCGAGAGCGCACCTCTTCCGGTCGAAGCTGAGCGCGGGCCGCGCGGAGCTTGAAATCACCGCCCACCAAACCACCCTAACCCAACCCGAAGGCTCAGATTTACCCTCGATTTCTAGTGGGGGGGGGGTCCAGGAATATCGAAAACACACATATGGAGCCTATACCCCCCCCAACCCGAAATTCGGGTCTTCGGGTTGGGTTGGGGTGGTCTGGTAGGTAGTCATGAAATTACGCAGTGAGGGGGAAGGGGAAGATGGGGGAAACAGCACACACTTTTTTTTGGATCTGCAGGGCGCGAGAGCGAACCTCTTCTGTTTGAAAGCTAGGCGGGACGCGCACAGCTTTACTCAGCAGAGAAAGGGCGAAGGGAGGCGGGGCCTCGCGCGGCCAGGAGAAAGGGCGGAGCCCGGGGAGAAGCAGCACACACGCACGCACAGTGACGACGCAGTCAAGACGCCGAGATAGGGACCGCTTCGGGGCTCCGGATGGGCTCCGCTCTTTTCTCGTGCCTGCCGTTCCTCGCATCTGGGCTGGGGACCTCTTCGGACGCCGAAATCTGGGCATCGCGATGCAGTCAAGGCGCCGAGATAGGGACCGGTTCGGGGCTCGGGATGGGCTCCGCTTTTTTCTCGTGCCGTTCCTCGCATCTGGGCTGGGGACCTCTTCGAAGCAGCGGCCCGCCGTGGCCAGGAAAGGGCCCTTCGCCCCTCTTCAGCACTGCTCATGGCAGCACGATGGCAGCCTCGAACTTATCCCTATCCCTAAGATTGACACGCCAAAAGGCGATGACAATCTTAGGGATGCGCCCTGAAAAACTAAGGGAATCCCTAAGATCGGCATTGTGATGAGGCGATGCCCAGCTTAGGGATAGGGATATGTTCCAGGCTGGTAATACCTGCTTGTCCCTGATCTCCTTCTCTGTTATCTCCCCTCGCCTCCTCTTGGCAGCCGCGCGCCGCAGCTTCTGGCTGATTGCAGAGCGCGCTATTCACTGCGAGGCCGCGCTCGCTTGCCGAGGACCTCCAGTCGCGTTTTTGAATATCGGTTCTTCTGGAGCCACCGCGGACATGCGTCCGCAACGCCTCACTTCAGTAAATCGGTCTCATCCTCCCTCCGAGGAGGAGGAGCCAGGAGGAGCATGACCATGAGGAGGGCGATGATGATGCTGATGATGATTATGCTTATGACGCTCGTGATGTTGATGATGATGATGATGATGATGATGATGATGATGATGATGACGATGGTGGGAGTGGTGATGATGATGAAGTTGATGATGATGATGATGAGGATGCTGAGGAGGATGAGGATGATGATGATGACGATGACTATGACCATGTTGCTGATGATGACTGTTTGACAATGATGATGCTGACAATAATGATGATGCCGATGATGATGCTGCTGATGAAGCTGATGCTGATGAAGATGACGATGACGAGGATGCTGCTGCTGCTGATGACGATGGTGGTGGTGGTGATGATGATCATGAAGATCATGATGATGGTGTCGATGATGATGCTGATGATGATGGCGGTGGTGGTGATGATCATGATGCTGATGGTGGTGAAGATAATGATGACGACGATGCTGATGCTGCTGATGATCCTGATCATGATGATGATGCTGATGATGCTGCTGATGATAGTGATTCCGACGATGATTGAGATGCTGATTATGATGGTGATGATGACGATGGTGCTGATGGTGATGATGATGCTGATGTTGACGATGATGATACATACTATGATTACGCTGCTGATGATGATTCTGCTGATGCTGCTGCTGCTGATGATGCTGATGATGATGCTGATGACGATGATGATGCTGATGCTCATGCTGCGGCTGATGATGATGATGATGATGACGATGATGATGATGATGATGCTGATGATGATGATGATGATGATGATGATGGTGGTGATGATGATGATGGTGATGATGATGTCGATGTCGATAACGATGACGATGACGATGACGATGATGAGGATGATGATGATAATGATGATGATGATGATGATGATGATGATGATGATGATGATGATGATGATGATGATGATGATGGTGGTGATGGTGATGGTGATGAGCGGCAAGGATCGTGGCGGAGCGATGAGTGTTAGGACAAGGTGAACCCGAAAGGCATCAACGATATTGCACTACACCCTCTCTTCAAGTTCCCTGTTCATAGGTCCCTTCAAGAAACAGTTTTCATTGCGGGAAGTGCTCGACTGGAAGACAACCGTTTCATAATCCCCTACCAAAGTATCATTCCTTGAACTTCAACCCCGCGAATCCACATGACAGTTGCGCCCTGACTATCTTTAATCATGCCAGAACACCATGTCTGGGCTTTCAACTCTGCGAATCAATGTGCCTGTTCGCGGGACTTTGACTCTGCGAATCATCGTGCCAGAACAGGAGGAGGAGGCGGAGGAAGAGGAGGAGGAGGAGGAACAGGAGGAGGAGGAGGATGAGGAGCAGGAGGAGGAGGAGGAGGAGGAGGAGGAGGAGGAGGAGGAGGAGGAGTTTAGGAGTAGGAGGAGGAGGAAGAGGAGCAGGAGGAGGAGGAGGAGGAGGAAGACGAAGAGGAGGAAGACGAGGAGGAGGAGAAGGAGGAGCATGGACGAGGCTCTGGAGGAAACGGAGGAAGAGGAGGATGAGGAATAGAAAATGGTATGGTGACGACGTCGACAAGGACGCCCCCCGGCGGCCTGGGACCGAGGTGAGCTGCGCTCAGTTCTGCCTCTCTGGCGGCAAGTGGGGCCGGACCTGCCGTTTCCGCCTGTTCTTCGGCAGGTGGGCGGGCGTGGGCACCGTCCTCATTGTCGTCGTCGTCGTCATCGTCGTCGTCGTGGTCGTCGTCGTCGTCGTCGTCATTGTCTTTGTTTTTGCCTTTGTCGTCGTCGTCGTCGTCGTCGTCGTGGTCGTCGTCGTCGTCGTCCACTTTGCTCACCTCTTCCTCCTTCCCCCTCCTGTTCTCGATCATCCAAACCTACTCCCTTAGTTCTCTTCAAGCCCCTCCCCCTTTGCCCCCTGCTTTTTCCTCTCCTTCCTCCCCCTGTCTCCGCGCTTGCAGGAGAGGGCTGGCAGGCTGGTGGGCGGGAAGGACGGAGTGGGGGAACGGAAGGAGACAGGCAGGGAGGGAGGGAGGGATGGAGGGAGGAGGAGGAGGCTCTTCTGGGTGGTCGTGTCGTTCAGCCTCTTCTCGTGTTGCTGGACGAGCTTAGGGGGTGGTGGGTGGCGATCGAGCGGCGAGGAGCCGTACGTGAGCCCAGCTTCTTGGTGCCACAGTCCCTGGACAGCATAGCGGTCGCAGGCGTCCATCGCGGCTGGCACTCAAGGCCAGGGCAATCATTGGCCAGAGGAGGAGGATGAGGATGAGGATGAGGATGAGGAGGAGGAGAAAAAGGAGGAGGAGGAGGAGGAGGGGGAGGAGGAGGAGGAGGAGGAGGAGGAAGAAGAAGAAGAAGCGGAGGAGGAGGAGGCGGTCTAGCTTGACTGTGGCGCCGAGCGTGAGTATGATGATGGTGGTGGTGGTGATGCTGACGATGATGATGGCGATTCTGGTGTTGTTGATGGTGGTGGTGCTGATGGTGATGGTGCTGAAACTATGCTGCTGCTAATCATGGGAAATAACACGTGTAGCGGCATAGCGACATCGCGGCACACACAGACACACATACATTTACACATATGCATGTCTGAAAGAGCGTGTTCGGTGGATGTTTGGAAAGGGGGCGGGTAGCCGAGGGGGACCCCCCCCCTGAATTGCAAAGGGAGGGTTTCGCACCGGGCCCCAACCCCTCAAGGGGGGGTTGGGATTCGAACCCGTTGGAGGGGAACCTCTCGAACCGGAGGGCAGCGACGACGACGACGACGACGACGATCGAGCCTGAGTTGGATGGTCCCAGTGAGATTTTATTGTTGCTAGATCGAGCTCTACTAGGACTCAGTTAGAGCGTGATCTGGCTATTTCTTGCTTCTATCCGAGCTGGATCGAGCCTCAGTAGGATGCAAGTAGAGTTGGATCCAGGTATCGGAGGATTCGACCGAGCCCAGCTAGGACGCTATTAAAGCTGGATCCAGCTATACTATGATCGTATAAGAATTTCATCGAGCCTAAGTGGGATCAGTCAGAAGAGGATCCAGTTATAGTGGGCTTTCACGCGAGTTGGACCGGGCGGGACTACGATGCTATTAAAATTGGATCCAACTATAGTAGGATTCACCGTGAGGTTGATGGAGCACTGGTAGGTCTCTATTCGGGGTAGATGGGGGTGGGTGGGGCGGTTAGACCCCACCCCCTTGCACAGGTCCCCCACTCCAGGTTCGAACCCCCTCATCCCTTGGAGGCCCCCCCCCCGTCAGAGAGGCCAATGTTCAGCCCCCGCCCCCCGGTTCCCCAGGCACTCTTGAATGTTTTTTTTTGTTGTGTCCAGAATTTTCCAGGCAAACGTGTACGAAATGCGTTCTCTTAAGTATGTATTTGTATGTATGTATGTATGTATGTATGTATGTATGTATGTATGTATGTATGTATGTATGTATGTATGTATGTATGTATGTATGTATGTATGTATGTTTGTGTGTCGGTGTGTGTATATATATATATATATATACATGTGTGTGTGTTCAAATGTCGATGACGCCCACGGCGAACCACCGCCGCCCCCTGCTTTTTGGAAGTAGTTCTGTGGCCAGGCGTTGGGCCGAACTCTTGGCAATTGGACTACGTGTTCTCCTAGACATTGAGGAACCATTGGGGGAGCACTTGGGGGATGAGGAAAGAGAGCAGAAGGAGGAGGAGGAGGAGGAGGAGGAGGAGGAGAAGGGGGAGGAGAAAAAAAAGGAGGAGGAGTACCAGTGTAAACTCAAGACTCATCAACGATATTGGAATGCACCCTCCTTCCAAGTTCCCTCTTCATATGCCCCTACAGGGACGCATATCCACTGGGGGAAGTGCGCCGCTTGGGGACAGCCGTGTGAAAATCTTGACTTGTGCCCAAACACCGTTCTCAGGATTTCAACGCCACGAATCAAACTGACTGTTGCGTCTTGACTGTCCTGAATCGCGCCAGAAGGTCACTCCTTGGACTTTAACACAGCGAATTAACGTAAATGTTGCGCCCTGGCAATCCTGAATCCTTCCACAACGCCATTTCTGGAATTTTCACCATGGGAACCCGTGAAACTCTTGCAATTTCTTCAGGCCGGTGTGCGCGGTGCCAAGGCGAGAGCCACATTTTGGAAACGACCTGTCCTCAATCCGCGGAGCCCTTTCATTATATTTCCTTAATCCTAGGCGGGATTCTTGTTCCCCATATTCTAAATGGGGTTTGTGTTTTCTCTGCACACCTCCGCACAGTCCTCCTCCTCAACCCCTCTCCTCCTCACGCACTCGCACACCATCATCATCATCATCATCATCATCATCATCATCATCATCATCATCATCATCATCATCATCAACACCATCATCATCATCATCATCATCATCATCATCATCGTCATCAACATCGTCATCATCATCATAAGCATCATCATCAACAACATCATCATCACCATCATCAGCGGACAGTCATTCATCATCGTCAGCACATTCTCGCGCACACGCACCGCCTCTGTTCCACATCATCATTATTCATCATCACGACCAACCAATCACCATTGCCATCATTCACCATCACCATTACTACCATCACACATGCAACACCATCACCATCCCATCGTGATCATCGACCAAGAGTGAGCCTTGTGTGTGAGGACATTGCAAAGAAGTCTCAGGCGGGACCCTTCCTTGTAGGGTCCGCACTTCATGTTGGTAATCCGCGTGGGTAATCGGAGTCCTGTAACTGTCATCACTCTTGGGCCTCTCAGGCCTGAGTCTTGCGGAAGTCTCATACGGGAGCCTCGTCTGTGAGTGACATGTGAGGAATTCTCAGGCGGGAACCCCTTCCTTATGGGTCCCGCAGTTCATGTTGGTCATCCGAGCGGGTCATCGGAATCGTGTAACCGTCGTCACTTTTGGGCCCCTCAGGCGTGAGACTTGACGAAGCCTCAGGCGGGAGCCTCGTCTGTGAGTGAATTGCGAGGAAGACTCAGGCGGGAACCCCCTGTCTGTGGGAGCCCCATGTCCATTTTGGTAATCCGAACGGGCAGCCGGCAATTCTGCAACCTGGAATCCGAGGGGGGTCTTCTGGAATGAATATGGAGGAAGTCAGGTCGGGGACCGCTCGACCGGGGGAGCTCCCCGGGGGGACGGAGGGGACGGGGTCGCGGAGGGGAGGGGGAAGAAGGGGAGAGAGGACAAGAGGAAGGGAAGACCCCAGATGATTGGAGGTCCTTGGACGCGCCCGTGCTGGCCGAAGCGGCGACGGCGCCGAGGAATTTCGACGCGCGCGCCCTTGCAATAGAGAGGGGAGTATGTGGTGAGGGTGCAAAAAAGCAGGGTTGCGAGGAGGGGGCAACGTAGGGAGCGGGAGGAGGGCCTGCGCCAGGGTGAGAAGGATAATGATGCAGAGGAGAGACAGTAAGGACGTGTCACCAAGTACGAGGACGACGATGAGGGGCATTTCCAGATTCACCGAGAGGATTCTCATGTGGGATCCTGCAGTCGGAGTAGTTTCTCTGGACACCCCGCGCAGTCCTCCTCCTCACCCCTTCTCCTCTTCACAAACTCATACACCAATCGTCATTATCCACCATTATCATCGACCAATCACTATTCACCATGACCATCACTATCATCACTTGCATCACTATCACCATCCCATCGTGATCATCGACCAAGAGTGAGCCTCGTGTGTGAGGGAATTGCAAGGAAGTTTCAGGCGGGAGCCCCTTCCTATAGAGTCCGCACTTCATGTTGGTAACCCGAGTGGGTCATCGGAATCCTGTAACTGTCGTTTTTTTTGTGCTCGTCGGGCCAAAATCTTGTGTAAGTCTCAGGCGGGAGCCTAGTCTGTGAGTGTATTGCGCGGAAGTCTCACGTGGGAGCCTCCTCCGTATGGGGTCCGTATTTTATGTTGGTAATCCGAACGGGTAATCGGAATCTTGTAACTGTCATCAAATTGTTCTACTCAGGCCTGAATCTTGAGGAAGTCTCAGGCGGGAGCCTCGTCTGTGAGTGTATTGCGAAGAAGTCTCAGGCGGGAGCCCCCTCCCTATGGATCCTCGTCTATGAGTGAATTGTGGGGAATTCTCAGGCGGGAGCCCCCTCCCTATGGCTTCCGCACTTCATGTTGGAAATCCGAGCGGGCCATCGGAATCGTGTAACTGTCGTCACTTTTGGGCTCCTCAGGCGTGAATCTTGACGAACCCATTCGGGAGCCTCGTCTGTGAGTGACTTGCGAGGAAGTCTCTGGCGGGAGCCTTCTCCTTATGGGTTCGCAGTTCATGTTGGTAATCCGAACGGGTCATCGGGACCGTGTAACCGTCGTCACTTTTGGGCTCCTCAGGCCTGAATCCTGAGTAAAGTCTCAGGCGGGAGCTTCGTCTGTGAGTGAACTTCGAGGAAATCTCAGGCGAGTGCTTTTGATTATGTTTGAGTATTTTGCAAGACTATTTTTTATCCGTGGACATGCCCGACCTGATGTTGACGCTCTCAGAAGTGAAGAGGTTGGCAGGCCCCTAGGGTAGATCCAGATCCGGATCCAGACCCCTCCTCGTTCTTCTCGTCCTACCCCCCTCGTCCCCGCCCTTTGCGCGCTCCCAGCCCGTGCCGCCCATTCCCCCGACCTTGGGGGCAGAGGTACCCCGAGCAGAGCTCTCTCGACAACAAGATGGCGATGCGGAACTTCGAGGTCGTTGGAATCGCCAACAAGGACGGCGCGACTGAAGTGGTGTATGTGTGTGTGTGTGTGTGAGTGTGTGTGTGTGTTGTGAGAGAGAGAGAGAGAGTGTGTTGTGTGTGTATGTGGCGACGCAGCTCGTCTGCACGACTGCTCGCGGTCTCCCGCCCGCCTTTCATCCACCATGCTGGGCGCAACTCGCTCGCTGGAGTGCGTCCCGCTCGTGCCTTGGCGGCGGTGCCGCGACAGTTCGCAATACCGTAACCCGCGCCACCTGGACGCGCGTGCGGACTGCCTCTGCCGCGCTGCGGCGCAAACGCGCGTGTGTGTGTGTGTGTGTGTGTGTGTGTGTGTGTGTGTGTGTGTGTGTGTGTGTGTGGGTGTATGTGTGTGTGCGTGCTCGTCTTCTTTTCCTTGCCCTCCTGCCGGCATGTCCCTCCCTGCTGCCTGCCTCCCCTTTTTCCTTTCTTTCCTGGTTCTGTCGCCTTTCTTCCTGTTTCTTGCATCCCCCCTTTCTTCTCTCTGCCTCTGCCGCGCTCCCACCCATCATGGTCCGTTTATACATGTAGAGTGTCCCCCTTCTGTAATTCGCGGACCGTCGATGATGTCCCTTTGGCGCCCCGCGGGACACATCGTCGGTGGACTCGTCTGACTGGCTGTTGCTATCACTCCGCGGAGGGTGAAGAAGTGTGTGTGTGTGTGTGTGTGTGCGCGTGTATCCGTAAGGGCTTCGCCCCCTGCCGCGGGCCCCCTCTATCAGAGTGGGGTATAACAGAGCCGCGTCGGTGCGTCTCGGCGCTGCTTTGGCGCATCTGAGAACAGCATGCGAGGGCGGATATGAGTCATCAGCGCATATTGAAACGTTGGCGTTATCGAAGACGCCTACGGTGAATCACCGCCGCCCCCTGCCTTTTTGGAAGCGCTTATGTGGCCGAACGTTGAGGCCAGACCTGCCAAGCTATCGGACCATGTGTTCCCCGAATCGGTTCGGAAAGCCTTCGGGGAACACGTGGGCATCTTGAATGTCATCTTGGCGGTCTGGAGACCATTTGGACCCTTTCGGGCCTTCTTGGAGGACATATTGGAGGGTTTTTGGGCTGTCTTAGAGGCCATCTTGAGCGTGTTGCAGGCCCTTTGGGCCGTCTTGGGGGCCTCTTGGGGCCGTCTTGGGCCTCTTGGGCGATCTTTGGGGGCACTTGGGTCGTCTCGGGCCGTCGGAAGGCCGACAAAAAAAAATGCCACAATCCTTAAACGACTCATGGGAAATGAATGATTTCGGCCTTCTCGGCCCTTCCTGGAGGCCCTCTTGGAAGCCTCTTGGGCCGTCTTGGGCCATCTTAGGGCCATCTTCGGCCGTTCTGGTGGGCTCCTGGCCCGTCCGACGCCGTCGGAAGCCGTTTCGGGGCCCCTCTGGGCCGACTTGGGGTACTCTTGGAATGCTCCAGGGCCGTCTTGGAGGCCATCTTGGGCGTCTTAAAAGCCTCCTGGGCCGTCTTGGGGGCCTCTTGGGGCCGTCTTGGCGGCCTCTTGGGCCGTTCTGGGGCCATCTTGGAGGCTTCTTGGGCGATCTTTTAGCGATCTTTGGGGGCTCTTGGGCCGTATCGGGCCGTCGGAAGGCCGACAAACAAAAACAAATGCCACAATTCTTCAAAAACTCATGGGAAGCTTCCGATCCGCCAGACCGCTAAACCGCTAGACCGCCTTGCCTGCAGGCCTGCCACAAAGATACTGGAAGATCCTGCCTCCCCTGAAGCCTCCTCGCCCTCTTCCCCTTTGGTCCTCCCCCCTTCGTCGCGCCGTTTCGCCGGAGCATCTCGCTTTTTTTTCTGATTCGATTTTCAGTGTTCGTTTGTTGTTGTTTCTTCTTCTTGCCGCGCCGTGCGTCTTTCTTGCTACTGGCCCTTCTGGCCCTGGCTCACGATCCCGCCATGCGCCCTCCGTCTTCGAGTTGGCGCTCCCTGTCAATTATGAGCGGAATGTTTGCTCGTTGTGCGATAGGGGCAGCTTGAGAAGGGGAGCGTCGCAATGTTGGGCAGGAAGAGTTGTCCACAACAAGTGGTACCAACCCGTTCGCAGGGCATACGCGAAGGTTTCGGACCATTTTTGTTGTCGCACGATTTGCTGCTCAACTCTTGAATGCCAACTCTGTGTGCCCCGTCGTACCATGGCACCGTCGTGCTCGCGCTACAGTTGGTGATTGCATAATGGTGCTGTGCCTCTGTTTGGGGGAAGGGGCGGAAGGGATGAGGAGGGATGGTGATGTAGTGGCGTGTGTTCTAACTCGGTGTGGGCAGGCGGCGGTCTCATACCTGTTGCTACATCTAATTGGCGTTCTGATCGTGAACGGGGTTTTGGGGAGTGAGATAGAGATAGAGAGAGAGAGGGAGAGAGAGAGAGAATGGGACGCGTACGTATGTGTACACATGCATATGCATATATATATATATATAGAGAGAGAGAGAGAGAGAGAGAGAGAGAGAGAGAGAAAGAGAGAGATAATGAGAAAATGGGAGAGGGAGAGAGAGAGAGAGAGAGAGCGAGAGGGAGCAAGAGACGTTGACGATGAGGATACTCGAGAGGGCGAGGGAGCAAAGTAATTTGGATAACGCTGGATTGAAGGGCCTGAGCGCTGGAAGGGCATGGGCCGCTGCCCTCTTTTCCTGCCTCCTTCACCGTGCCCCGCTTTCGCCCTGCCACTTCCTCAGCCCTGCCTTCAGCCGCCACTGCCACCACCAGCTCATCCTCCCGCCCCTCCTCCACCGTCACCGTGACCCCCGCCTCGGCCACTGCCATGGTCCACCTGGTCCCTTGCCTACCGCCGCTGCCCCGCCTTCACGGGTGTGAAATGAAACAGCCACGTCGCTTAGCTTCGCCCAGGCCTCATCGCCGCCCTCGCAATTTCAACGACCCGCTGGACCGAGAGCTTCGGGTGCTTGCATGCGAGCAATGCGCCGCCATTTCTGCACCTTCTGCTGCGTGCGGTGCGCGTCATTGGACGCTACAGGTCTTTGTTGATCTACGGTATGTTTGTGTACTACTGTTTCATGGCGATCGATGTATACCTCACGTACATCCTGCCGCCCATCACGTGGAACCAAGAGTCATACGTCATACAGGAGTTCTGCCTCCAACCAGACATGGTGGAGTCGACATGCGCCAGGGAGCCTTGTCGCAACTGGCTGGGCAGGGGTGCTTCTGCGGGGACACCCAGGGAGTGGAAGGGGTGCTCTGCACGCTTGCATCGTATCAGCGTGTTCCATCCATCGTAGGCGTTCCCATCTTTGCGAAACACTCTGCCGTCGGCAGTCCAATGTCTCGGCCAGCTGTTCAGCTCCGTAGACTCGCTGCTCCGTGTGCAGCAGTGCTGCCTCTCACGCGTGCAGGCTGTTCCACACTCCTCGCGTGCACCGCCCACCCTTTCTAGCTCTCGCCAGAGGAGCCGACTACGGCCCCCCTTCGGGCGGAAGCCATGCCGAAGGAAGTCCAGGACGGCCCTTCGAGGAGGCCCTGCGTGGCTTCCGCGAGGTCCGGGCCTTGCGACGATGGCCACTCTGGGCTCGGGAGGGGCCGTGGCTTCCGGGCCGCTCCTCGGACCCAGGTCGGGGGCCCCCATCCGGGGCCGGGGCCTGCCGCTGCCAGAGGATCCCTCTCGTTCTCTACGGTCAGCTGGCACAGCAAGGATGATGCATCCTTCCCGACGAGGGGTACCTCTGCGTCCTTGCCTCCTCGGCTCATCCTTGGCCACTTTCGCTGGCCGCGCCCCGCTCGAAAAGCTTCTGAATAGGCTTCCAAGGCCCTTGCATCCTTACCGCGCATCCCTCTGATACGGAACATGCAGGGATTTAGTGCTAAAAACAACGATGACATACATTTATTCATACATGAATCATGTATTAAGCATCCTATATTTTTTCATGGTGCCACGATGACTGTACTGTTCCATACAGCCCGGATTTGGCCCCAGCGCCTTCAAATTCTTGACGCTTCGCGCATCCCCACCCGCCCATCCAGGAACGATGCCCAGGGGAGCCACCCTTGCAATATCGGAGGAGCGTGGTATTATTTGGGTACCTCGGGGAGTCTCAGAGAACTGGATGCTTCTTGGATGCCTTATAGGGTCGCTTCGGATGTCTCCTGGGGGGCTCTCGGTGGCCCCTTGGGCAGTCTTGGGGGCTCTTGGGGGCGTCCTGGGGCGTCTTGCGGTGGACCTCTGCCTCTTAGGGGCCCTTATTGGGGCCCTCTTGGGAGCTTTGGAGGTCTCCCATGGGGCCATCTTGAAGCACATCGATCCACGAAGGGGGGGCCTCCATCCGCCCTGCCCTTCTAGAGCCCCCAACGTCGCCTCCCGGGGCCCTCTTTTGAGGCCCTCTTGTGCGCTCTCGGGGCCGTCTTGGAGCCGGCGTGGAGGAAGCCGCTGGCTCGGTGCCTCCGAGGAGGCCCGGCTCCTCGTGGGCCAACACGCACTGGTCCGCATCCGCGGCCTCGCGGGCCGGGCCCCTGGGCCGCGACTCCGCGGACACCGGGGGCGGCAAGGAGGGTGGGTGATCATCAGGGGGGGAGGATCTCATGGCGGGGGCCGTGATACGGTAGAGGGAAACAATTACGAACATTCCCCCTCCACCCCAAATTCAGAGTTGGCGCGCGCGCGCGGGGGAGACTGCGGTCGAGGTGCAACTCATCAGACCCACCGCCAACTTGTAACATTGGGGGGAGGGGCAGGCATTGGCAGATGAATGTGGCATGAGTGTTCGCTATTTTTTTCCGAGGCCTGTATCTCCCCAGATTTGATGGCGCCTCTTCTTAATTTCAGTACGTCTCCGTTCCTCCCCTGGGCCGCGCACACGCTGCCGGCCATGATTTGCGCCCCGTCCACTCTTGGACCCCCCCCTCTTGGACGCCCCCGAGGATACGGGGCGCCTTTTCGCGGACGTGGCGCGCGGAGCGTACGCGTGCGACCGAGCATCCGCGGGATCGCGGCCCAGACTCCAGACCGCGAGGGCGCGGACACGTAGCTGTTCGCCGCTCGTGAATCAGGAGGGGGAAAAACACAGGCACAATGAATCATCGACTTCCAGGAAAATATGGGAAAATAAGGCAAGAGGGGAAAACCCAGAAAATATGAGAAAATATTGGGAATCCTGGGATTTGTGCTTGTTTATTTGTGTGTCCCAGGGCCCCTTGAGTGACTTCCCCCCTCTGTTCTACCCCCTCGTTCGGTCCGGGCGCCGACTGTCTCAGAGCCGGGGCCTCCGACCATCCTTCCTTTCCTCCCCCTTTACCCGCCTTGAGCGTATCCCTACCCCCATGACCGGCATCATCTGATCTCGATGCCGATCTCAAGGATTTTTTGAGTTTTCGAGCACGCATCCCTAAGATTGTCATCGCATTTGGGCTTGTCCGCCCCAGGTATTGGGATCATCTCGAGGCGGGTGACGGTGCGACGCGAAGAGGGTCGTGCTCCGTGCAGCGCGAAGCTCGAGGACGCGCAACAACGGATTCGGGCACGTGGATTGGCGGCGGGCCTCGCGTTCCGCCACCGGATCGGGCAGCACTGGCGCCGTGCTTCGGGGGGCCTTCCCGATCCAGGGATCTGCCGACCGCGTGTGTCAGATCCACGGCACGGGCGTCTGACCCATGTTGGCATGCGCCCGAGAAGCGCGAAGCCGAAATTGAGTGCCCTCGGGGCTTCCTCTTACAGTCGAGGTTGATTAGTAGGTCGACCCTCTCAGATCAAAGGTGCCCTTGTGTCCTGTGTTTTGCGACCCATGCCTTCTACATTCCTGCGACACTTTTGCCCTCGGAAGGGTTTTGTGTCCTCTCGCGTGCCCTCTCCTTTAAACCCCGACTGTATGGGAATGCGCGGGGTGGACGCGCGCGCCATTGGAGGGCAGGGTGCTGTCGAAAGAGAAGTACGATCCCAATTGGTACACCTTCTGCGACGCGCTCACCTGGATTCCGGCCGCCCGTGCGGAAAAGCGCTGGGGAGGAAGAGGAGAAGGTGGGGGGAAGGCGAGGACGCGAAGGAGCGGGGGGTGAGGAGGCGGAGGAGGAGGAGGAGGAGGAGGAGGAGGAGGAGGAGGAGGAGGAGGAGGAGGAGGAGGAGGAAGGACGAGGAGCAGCAGGAGGGGAGGCGTGGAGGAGGAGGAGGAGGAGGAGGAGGCGGAGGAGGAGGAGGAGGCGGAGGAGGAGGAGGAGGAGGAGGGCGGACGGAGGAGGAGGAGGAGGAGGAGGAGGAGGAGGAGGAGGAGGAGGAGGAGGAGGGGAGGAGGAGGAGGAGGAGGAGGAGGAGGAGGAGGAGGAGGAGGAGCAGAGGAGGAGGAGGAGGAGGAGGAGGAGGAGGAGAGGAGGAGCAGGAGCAGGGGAGGAGGAGGAGGAGGAGGAGGAGGGAGGAGGAGGAGGAGGAGGAGGAGGAGGCGGGAGGAGGCGGGGAGGAGGAGGAGGAGGAGGAGGAGGAGGAGGGAGGAGGAGGCGGAGGAGGACCCGGAGGCGGAGGAGGAGGAGGAGGAGGAGGAGGAGGAGGAGGAGGAGGAGGAGGAGGAGGCGGAGGCGGAGGCGGAGGGAGGAGGAGGGGAGGAGGAGGAGGAGGAGGAGGAGGAGGAGGAGGAGACGAAGAGGAGGAGGAGGAGAGGAGGAGGAGGAGGAGGAGGAGGAGGAGGAGGAGGAGGAGGAGGAGGAGGTGGAGGAGGAGGAGGAGCAGGAGGAGGAGGGAGGAGGAGCAGGAGGAGCAGGAGGAGCAGGAGGAGCAGGAGGAGCAGGAGGAGCAGGAGGAGCAGGAGGAGCAGGAGGCAGGAGGAGCAGGAGGAGCAGGAGGAGCAGGAGGAGGAGGAGGAGGAGGAGGAGGAGGATGGAGGAGGAGGAGGAGGAGGAGGAGGAGGAGGAGGAGGAGCAGGAGCATCCCTCTTTAAGGGCCCTGGCATCCGTACCAGACTCAGGCCCTCGTGTAATCGTTCCCAGGAGGAGCAGGAGCAGGAGCAGGAGCAGGAACAGGGGCAGGAACAGGAGGAGAAGGAGCAGGAGCAGGAGCAGGAGGAGGCGCAGGAGGAGGAGGAGGAGGAGGAGGAGGAGGAGGAGGAAGAGGAGGAGGAGGAGGAGGAGGAGGAGGAGGAGGAGGAGGAGGAGGAGGAGGAGGCGCAGGAGGAGCAGGAGCAGGAGCAGGAGCAGGAGGAGGAGGAGGAGGAGCAGGAGCAGGAGCAGGAACAGGAGCAGGAGCAGGAGCAGGAGCAGGAGGAGGAGGAGGAGGAGCAGGAGGAGGAGGAGCAGGAGGAGGAGGAAGAGGAGGAGGAGGAGGAGGAGGAGGAGGAGGAAAAGGGGGGGAGGGGGAGGAGGAGGTGGAGGAGGAGGAGGAGGAGGAGGAGGAGGAGGAGGAGGAGGCGAGGGCGAGGAAGAGGAGGATGAGGATGAGGCGATGGCGAGGAGGAGGAGGAGGAGGAGGAGGAGGCTTCTCGGGCGCCCTCGCGCCTTCTCGGAAGTTTTCTGTGTCTTCGGGGAAGGCTCAGAAAATTTCTCAGAAGGCCGGGGGACTTCCGAGCCTTCTGAGCAGGCCCGCCCCCTCTCACTTCCTCCCACCGGGCGTGCCGCCAACCCTCCCTCCCGAGGCGCCCCCGTCAGGGCGGCAGAGATACCCGACGGGCGCGGGTTATGATGTTCCCACTTTCTTTAGCCTCAGCGAAGGAAAAGGTATATATGTATATATGTATATATATATACATATACTGCTACCCATCCCTCGTTTCTCCCTTGGGGCCTCCTGGGCGGCCCTCGTCGCCACCGCTGGATGCGTCTCGAAATTCTTGTCAGAACTCACCCCGGGAGAGGTCTGGGGAGTAGCGGTATCAACCTTTTGGTTTCTCCACAGCTTCAATTACCAGGAAGAGTCTCGAGCATCAGGAAGCACCGAAACCAGAGGGTTTTCACGCGTCGGGCCCTGGGAGGCGATGCTCGTTCGACACTTCGCTAGCGTGTCGGGCAGGCGCCTTCGTCACTTCTCTAGCGCCTCCCGAGGGGGGGGGAAATTGGCCCGCTCCCTGTCATGCTGCTGTCTTGGCTTATCGGGCGCAGTGTGCTTTTTTTGCGGGGGGGGGGGAGACGACCAGGAGTGCAGCACTGGCCCGTTCCCTGTCATGCTGTCTTGACTTCTCGGGCACAGCGTGCCTCTTTTTGGCGGGGGGGGAGGGGAGGGGGGGGCGCGGGCCAGCGGGGCAGACGTGTCTCCCTCGAGGGCCCCTCGGCGTGGGCGTTTTGGCTTCCACACGGGTGGCCGACCAGTGGCGCATCACGCGCCTGCTCGCGCTCGTACTGCCTGGGCAGCCCTGGCAAAAGTATGGTCTCGTCGAGCAGGCGCATCTCCGCTCGTGCCCCGTGGCCGCCGCGACGCAGCAGGCGTTGGAGCCTCCCCAGAGGGGATCCGACCAATGCTGCGTCGTGGGGCCGGCCGCGCTCATCTTGTCGGTTCCTCTTGGTCATGTTTGTCTCTTGTCTGGGGGGGGGGTAGGGTGTACGCGTATCTCTTCTCAGTCCCCCCATGATCACCGCGATGCAGCAGGCACGGAACTTGAGCCTCCCGTGCCTGTCTCCTCGGCGGCGAATGAGGGGGGGAAGCGAGAAGGAGAAGGCCTTCTCGGAAGATTCGGAAGTCCCCCGGCCTTCTGGGAAGTTTTCTAAGCCTTCCCCGAATACCAAAAACTTTGAGAAGTCCCGCCGCCTTTGAGAAGGCCCTCTTCTCGTTTCCCCCCCTCGCTCGCCGCCAACTGTCCGCGGTCAGACTGCCGGGATCTCTTGCGCAACATGTTGTTTTGTCCAGGCCATCCTGTGGTGTTGAACCAGCAGCACCCCGCGTGCTCTCCTGGTCCTCCTGGCCCTCCTCCCCCTCCTTCCTCCTGCCTCTGCCCCGGCACGCCCCTCCCACGCTTCTCAAGCCCTATAGGAGCTCCACGTGAGGGCCGAAATGAACACGTCCGTATGCAGTCGTGGGCTCACTTTGCTCGCCCCCGCCACGCTTTCCAAGCCATTTATAGGAGCTCCACAGAAGGCGAACATGAAACAGTCCGAATGCCGTCGTGGGCTCATTTCGCTCGCCCTTGCCACGCTTTTCGAGCCCCACAGGAGCTCCACAGAAGGCTGACATGAACAAGTCTGCATGCAATCACCATGCGGTCGTGGACTCATTTCGCTCGCCCCTGCCATGCTTGTCAAGCCCCATCGGAGCTCCACAGAAGGCCGAAGAGAAACAGTCCGCATGTAGGCATGCAGTCGTGGGCTCATTTTGATCACCCCAGCCACGCTTCTCACACCCCATAGGAGCTCCACCGACGGCCAAAATGAAAGTCCGCATGCAGTCGTGGGCTCATTTCGCTCGCCCCTCACGCTTTTCAAGGCCCATAATAGGAGCTCCACAGTGGGCACACGTGAAACAGTCCGCATGCAATCGTGGAGCTGGTTTCGCTCGCTCTTGCCACGCTTTTCTCGCCCCATAGAAGCTTCATAGACAGCCAAACAGAAAGAAGTCCCCATGCAGTCGTGGGTTCATTTCGCTCGCCGCCGCCACGCATTTCAAGCCTCATAGGAGCTCCATGGAAGGGCGAAATACAGAAGTTAATGTGCAGCCGTGGGCTCATTTCGGTGGACACTGCCACTCTTTCAAGCCCGCAGGAGCTCCACAGACGGCCGACATGAAAAAGTCCGCATGCAGTCGTGGGCTCATTTCGCTCGCCCTTGTAAGCTTTTCGCGCCCCATAGGAGCTCCGCAGAAGGCCAACATTAATCAGTCCGCATGCAGTCGTGGGCTAATTTTGCTCGTCCCCGCCATGCTTGTCAAGCCCCATGTGAGCCCCCCAGAAGGTCGAATCGAAGAAGGCCGCATGCAGTCATGGGCTCATTTCACTCACCCCTGCCATGCTTTTCGGGCCCCGTTAGGAGCCCTACAGATGGCTGGAGATGGACAAGGCCAAATGTAGTCGTGGGTTCATTTCGCCGGTTCCCGCCGCGCTTGTCAAGCCCACAGGACCTCCACAGGCGGCCGACACGAACACGTCCGCATGCAGTCGTGGGCTCATTTCGCTCGCCCAGGCCAAGGTTTTCGGGCCCCGTGAGAGCTCCGCAGGACACCAAAGCGAAGAAGCCCACATGCAGTCGTGGGCTGAGTCCATCATTTCGCTCGCCCGGACCACGCTCATGTCGCTGGCCCCTGGCATGTTTTTCAGCGCCCATGGGGATCTCCGTGGAAGGCCCCAATGCCAAAGTTTGTGTGTTGACCACGCCCATTTCGATCGCCCATTTTGTTCGTGGCCGCAGAGGGAACCCCCCTCCTTCGGCCCACCTGCCTTGCAGTACTCACGACGATATATGGTTGGGTCCTTCGCCAGGCTTTCTTTTTTTGTGTGTGGGGGGGAGGGGAGGGGGGGGGAGGCGGGTGCGGCAGACGTATCGCCCTGCCAGGGGTGTATCACGGGCCTGTTCGCTGTGTGACTCAGGCAGAATGCCAGTCTTTTGTTGTTGAACTCTCATTTCTGAAGAATAATTATTGTTGATCCCCCCTGTCCGGTGCCCATTGTTTTTTTTCAATTGAAGTGCTTCCTCCGGGGCTCGCACCCCGTTTTTTGACAGGGAAAGCCTTGCGGATCAGATTGCGTTGTTGGGCCCCGGACTACAACAACAACGGCTCCCGCCTGAGACTTCCTCACAATTTACTCAGGACCCCCGCTCCCGCCTGAGACTTCCTCAAAACTTACTCCGGAAGGGCGCTCCCGCTTTAGACTTTCTCACATTTTACTCAGAAACGGCGCTCCCGCTTGAGACTTCCTTAATCAGGACCCCTGCTCCCGCCCGAGACTTCTTCATAATTTATTCAGGAATGGCGCTCTCGCTTAGGACTTCCCTGCAATTTATTGCAGCATCGCGTTCTCGACGCTCAGGAACCACGCTCGCGCCAAGGACGCCCTCGCAATTTACTTAGGAATCGCGCTCTCGCTAAATACTTCCTCGCAATTTACGAAAAAATCCCGTTTGAATGTCCCGCCCGCCCGACCCGCCCGTCAGGGTCCGCCCGCCCGACCGGCGCTCCCGCCTGAGACGTCCGACAATGTACTCGGGACCCCCGCTCCCGCCCAACTCTTCCTTGAGGAATACGCCCTCGCCTAGGACTTCCTCGAACGTTCACACTCTTACCCTCCTGCCCCTTCCTCCCCATCCAACCTCCCTCCTCCCTCCCCTCTCCCTCATATCCACCCTCCTCCTCCCTCTTCCTCTCTCCCCTCACCCTCCTCCCATAACCCTCCTCCCTCCTCTCTTCGCCCTCCCCTCTCCAGCCTCCTCCTTCCTCCCTCCTCTGTCTCTCTATCTCCAATCGTCCCCCCCCCTCCTCGCCCCCTCTCTCCTGGCGTGTTCCCCTTTAGCCTCGTCCCTCCCCCTCCCTTCCTCCCACTCTCCCTCGTTCTCCCCCTTCCTCTTCTTGCAGGGCCCGCGCTAATTCCAATAGTGGGCAAAGAGATGCGTGCCCCATCCTCCGAATAATTCCCCGCCCGTTCACGCCCGCTTGTCTAAGCCCGCCCGCCCCCGCAAAAAGAAAGAATCCCCCCAGAAGGGGGTACGCTCGAAGACGAAGGGGGCGGGTATCGAGGGCGTGGGTATACACGTTGCATGGCACGCGGGCAAGTAAGAGCGATCAGTCTTGAAATGATTGTTGTTATTGTTGCTATTGTTGTTGTTCTTGTTGTTGTTGTTGTGGTTGTGGTTGTGGTTGTGGTTGTTGTTGTTGCTGCTGCTGCTGCTGCTGCGGCTGCTGCTGCTGCTGCTGCTGCTGCTGTTGTTGTTGTTGTTGTTGTTGTTGTTGTTGTTGTTGTTGTTGTTGTTGTTGTTGTTGTTGTTGTTGTGTGTGTGGGGGGGGGGGGATGGGCGTGATTCTTCTAAGGGCCCATGACCATCGAGATCTGGTAGGATTTGCATTTGACCTTCCCAGAGGGAAGCCGACCAGGGGTGCATCACGGGCGCGTCCGCGATGAAATTGTCTGAACCTCTCATGCTTTGTTTGGTTGGGGGGCCAGACGCGTCTCATACTGACACACGCCCAAATAATGAGTTCTCAATGAACTAGATGTATACATATGTATACACACATATGTATACACACATCTCTATCTCTGTATAGTTGTATACCCACACATGATTATATATATGTATATGTAGGTATGTGGATACATGCATACATGTAATACATATATGTCCCTATATATAGACATATGTGGGGATATCCGTGTCGAGCCCTGTTCAGTTTTCACATGGCGTTTAGCGCGCAACGTGGGCTTCGGGACGGTTCACTCGTGCCCCATGGTAACCCGATCTCGTCCAATCAATCCCGGTCGCATTGGCCCAAGAGGCCTCCAGTGCGGACACCAGGCAGCCCAAGAGGCCTTCCGTCAGGACCTAAGATGTCCAAGAGATCTCCAAGACGTCGCAAGATGTCCGCCAAAGTGTTTCAAAACAGCTCGAGGGGCCCGAGACTCCCTCAGAGAGCCAGCAGGGCCCCGCGAGGTCCCCACGACGGCTCGAGAGGGCTCCCACAGGTCCCTGAGGCGCGCGGCCCCGAGAGAGGGCCCCTTCCGAGCCACGCGCCCCGTCGCCGTCGCCGCCCCGGAGGCCGCTGCGAACGAGACGGGCGCAGACGTCGACGACGCCAACGCCACCACTGTAGGCACCACCACTGAGGGCGCCACTGTGAACACCACGTCGACGACGGGCGGGGTCGCCGACGAGGCTGTCGGCGAGTTCGAGGTGGGCTACGGTGTTCTCGACGTGGTGTCGGCGGTTCCAGCGAGGCTCCGCTGGCCTCCCTCCTCTCTTCGAGTGAGATCGGCGCAGCCAGGTCACGTCACCGTCGTCGGTCCTCGACGGTTGTGGATGCGTCCGGCGGACGTAGCTGTCTTTGGGTTTTTGAGGTGCTGGCTGGACGCATCTCGTTCAGCTGGACTTGTGCTGGACGTTCTTTTGGGCCGAGGGCTTCTTTGGCCACCCGCGGGGGCGCAAGGATACTCACGTTCTGCGCTTCGCGGCCCGGGCCGAGGCGCCGCTCTCCTCCGCGGGGTCGGCGGGAGGGCACCCGTGTCCTGCGCCTCGCGCGGCCTGGGTGACCTGGGGCACACACACACACCGACGGAGACTGGGCCGCAGCATGACGTCAGTCGCTTGCGCCTCCTCTGCCTGCGAACAGCAGCAGCGTGCCCGCGTGAGCGCAGCGGCCTGCGAGCGCCACACAGTGCTGGCGATAGCAACAGCGTGCTCCACGAGCAGGCGGCGAGGGAGGCTGGGCCCTGCCGGTCAGCTCGCGCGCGCCACCCGTGTGCACAGAATTGCTGTGGATCCTGCCATTACGGCCACAGCCTGCTGCGAGCACCACAGCATGCCTTCGAGCACAAGCCACCTTCGTTTGAGTCGGGCGTGTCCCTCTACATGAGGAATGTTCAAAAATAGTCAAACAATAGTCTGTGGACGATTTGTTGAGTGTGTTTTTTTTTGGGGGGGGGGGAGAAAATGAAATCTTAGAGAACATTTTGTTGTGACCATTTTTAATTTTTCGTACAAGCTTCTCCCGTAGGGGGACAGGCCCGACCTTGCCAGTGCCGCTAGTGTCAGCCGCGAGCGCCACCGCGTGCCTGCGAGCACCAGCACTGTGCCGGTGGGCACCACAGTACCCTGGGAGCGCTACAGCGCGCACGATGCTACGACACTTTGTTTGCGACCACCAGGCTAGGGAGCCACATGCGAAACCTATCCCCCACCCCTCACGATTTCTGAGGGGGAGGGTGGGGTTCACTTCGTTCCGGAGCTCCCGAGCAAAGTGACCCGCACCCTTCCTCTCAGAAATCGTGGGGGGTAGGGGTAGGGTTCGCATTCCCCTACAGGCGGTGAGGGAAGCCAGACCCCGCCAGCACCACAATATCTCGCGCGCTCCGCATGTGCGCACAACAGTTTGCTGAACCTCGCCAGCACCAGAATAGCTTTCGAGCGCCGCAGTATGTCTGCGAGCACCAGCAAGGCGCGTGTGAGAAGCGCCACAATATGACATTATTGATGCTTTGCGTAACCCCACAAGCCCACCCGCAAACGATGTCCAGCGAGTTGCGCTGATCATGGTTGTGCAGGAGCATGCAGTGTAATCAAGGTCTAGGTAAGCCGTGATACCCCAAGGGGAGGATGATGGAGGAGGAGGAGGAGGAGGAGCAGAAGGAGGAGGAGGAGCAGAAGGAGGAGGAGGAGGAGGAGGAGAAGGAGGAGGAGGAGGCGGAGGAGGAGGAGGAAAGGGAGGAGGAGGAGGAGGAGGAGGAGGAGGAGGAGGAGGAGGAGGGGGTGAGAAGGAAGGAGTGATGAAGAGGAACAGGCGGAGGAGGATGAGTACGAGGAGGAGGAGGAGGAGGAGGAGGAGGAGGAGGAGGAGGAGGAGTAGGAGTAGGAGGAGTAGGAGGAGGAGGAGGAGGAGGAGGAGGAGGAGGAGGAGGAGAAGAAGGAGAAGGAGGCGGTGGAGGAGGAGCAGGAGGAAGGCGAGCAGAATTGCCAGAGGCCTTTGGATGCTTCTCGGAGTCTTCTCGGATGTCTCTTGAAAGCTTCTTTGAGTCCTCGTGGGGCGTCTTGGGGGCCTCTTGGCGGTCCCGGGGGCCTCTTGGAGCCTCTCGGGTGCCTCGGGGAAGCCTCTTGGGGCCTTTTGGGGGTCTCTTGGGAGCCTCTTGGGAGCCTCTTGGGGGCTTTTTGGGGCCTCTTGGGCGCCTCTTGGGGCCACTGGAGCCCTCGGGAAGCCTTGGGGGCCATCTTGGGGCCATCTTGGAGGAGTCCGATCAGAGAAGGGTGGGAGTAAATTTCCCCGCCCGGAAGGGGTCACATTCATGATGTTTGTTTTCTCGCCGAGGCCTTCTTGGACGCTCTAATCGGTCGCGGGGCGCCCCGTCCAGGTCCAGGGGGAGGAGGGGTAACACCCTCCCCGAAGGGAAAGAGTGGGGGTTTGGAGAGGAAACGCCCTAAGCAACTCGCGCCCTAAACGGGCTGGTGCGGATCTCACGTGTATATCCCTACGCTATCGAAGATGCCTTCGGCGAATCAACGCCGCTCCCTGCGAATCAACGTTGGGCCGAAGTCTGGCGAAGCTGTTGGACTATGTGTTCTCCTGGCCGCCATGGGGCCCCTTGGGGAGCTAGTCTGGAGAGGAAGACAAAGGAGGAGGAGATGGAGGAGGAGGATGGGGCGGAGGAGATGGAGAGGAGGAGGAGGAGGAGGAGGAGGAGAAGGAGGAGGAGGAGGAGGAGGAGCAGGGCAGGGCAGGAGGAGACGCAGGGCTGTAGGAGGAGGAGGAGGAGGAGGAGGAGGAGGAGGAGGAGGAGGATGAGGAGCAGGAACAGGAGCAGGAGCAGGAGCACTTGCAGGAGCAGCAGCAGGAGAAGGAGGAGGAGGAGCAGGAGCAGGAGCAGGTGCAGGAAAAGGAGCACTTACAGGAGCAGGAGCACGAGCATGAGGAGGAGGAGGAGCAGGAGGAGGCGTTGGATGATGATGATGATGATGATGATGATGATGATGATGATGATGATGATGATGCTGATGCTGCTGCTGATGATGATGATGGTGATGCTGATGATTATGATGCTGATGATGTTGATGATGATGATGATGAGGATGATGATGATGCTGATGATGATGCTGATGATGATGATGATAATGATGATGATGATGATGATGATGATGATGATGATGATGATGATGATGATGATAGTGATGGTGATTGTGATGATGATGATGCTGATGCTGATGCTGATGATGATGGTGATGATGATGCTGCTGATGATGACGATGCTGATGATGATGATGCTGCTGATGATGACGATGCTGATGATGACGATGATGATGATGATGATGATGATGATGATGATGATGATGCTGATGATGCTGATGATGATGATGATGATGGTGATGATGATACCGATGCTGCTGCTGATGATGCTGATGATGCCGATGAAGATGATGCTGATGCTACTTTCGATGATGACGATGATGACGATGCTGCTGATGCTGATGATGCTGATTATGATGATGCTGATGAGGAGGAGGAGGCGGAGGCGGAGGAGCAGGAGGAGGCGGAGGACGAGGAGGAGGAGGAGGAGGATAGGAGGATAAGCAGGAGGAGAAGGAGGAGGAGGATGAGCAGGAGTAGGATCAGGAACAGGAGGAGGAGGAGGAGGAATCCTGTTACTACTGCTACTACTGCTACTACTGCTACTACTACTACTACTTCTACTTCTACTTCTTCTTCTACCACTACTCCTACTATTAGTAGTAGTAGTAGTAGTAGTAGTAGTAGTAGTAGTAGTTAGTAGTCTAGTAATACTTACTACTACTACTTACTAACTACTTACTTACTACTACTACTACTAGTACTAGTACTAGTACTAGTACTAGTACTAGTACTAGTACTCGTACTAGTATAGTAGTTAGTCTAGTACTAGTACTAGTACTAGTAGTACTATACTACTACTATCTACTACTTTTACTTCTACTTCTACTTTCTACTTCTACTTCTACTTCTACTTCTTACTCCTTTTCTTTCTACTACTACTACTACTACTACTGCTATTACGACTCCCACTACTATTATTGTTACCATGACTACTACCACTACTTCTTCTTGTTCCCTACCTAGGCTCTGCCTAGAAGGGGTCTTACTCGGTATGCTTAAAAGCGCTGGGCAGTGCAACTCGCCCCGGGCGGTTCCCTCAGTATCCGCCCCGCGGTTCCCCCCCAGTTACGTCCCCTTAGCTTAGCTTTGCGTATCTCATCTTAGCTTAGCTTAGCTTAGCTTATTTCATCTTAGCTTAGCTTAGCTTAGCTTTGCCTAGCCTAGCCTGGCCTATCTTAGCTTAGCTTAGCTTAGCTCATCTTAGCCTAGCTTAGCTTAGCTTGACTTAGCTTAGCTTGGCTTGGCTTAGCTTGGCTTAGCTTGGCTTAGCTTAGCCTAACCTAGCCTAGCTTAGCTTAGCTTACCTTAGCTTAGCATAGCTTAGCATACTTTAGCTTAGCATAACTTAGCTTACCTTAGCTCAGCTAAGCGCAGCGCAGCATAGCGCAGCGCACAGCATATCATAGCATAGCATGGCCAAGCATAGCATAGCGTAGCATAGCTCAGCATATCATTTCATAGTATATTATAGCGCAGCGCAGCATATCATACCATAGCATAGCATAGCATTGCTCAGCATAGCACAGCGCAGCATAACATAGTATAGCACAACATATTATAGCATACCATAGCATAGCACAGCGCAGCATAGCATAGCATAGCACAGCATATCACAGCGCAGCATACCATCTCATATCATAGCCTAGGATAGCGTAGCATAGCGCAGCATAGCATAGCATAGCGCAGTATATCATAGCTTAGCATATCATCTCATAGCGCATACTCGCATCGCATATCATCGCCTAGCATAACACAGCGCAGCCGAGCGTACCCTAGCATAGCATAGCATAGCATAGCGCAGCATAGCGCAGCATAGCAAATCATAGCATAGCATAGCATAGCATAGCGCAGATATCATATCACAGCATAGCATAGCATAACAGCAACACAAAGGCAACATACCAGCAGCAACAGCAAAGCAAAGCACAAGCAACGCACATCACAGCATAGCTTAGCATCGGTGTATATTGAGATGTTGCTTGTGGGTCTAGCATAACATAGCATAGCATAGCCTAGCATAGCAGGCACATAGCGCAGCATAGCATAGCATATCTTAGCATCGGTGTAGATGTATATGCTGCTTTCCTAAATGCTCCAACTCCT